ACAAGTTAGCAATATTTATGTAATTTCTATTTATTTACTGGTCATAGTACGTACCGATGTATGATGGGTGATTCCGTAAAAGTATATATTTCGTCGCCAATAGGATACACAGACACTACTGTGTTGTCCGACAATTTTTCCAATGGTTTAAAAAATGCTGAAAACCTAAAAAACCAACATATTAATTCCGGAGCGAAGATCAAATTGTAGAGACGTTATAAGCAAGCTTGAGTTTCAAGTTCATTGTTCAAGGACGAAATATTAGCTAGCATTTCAGTGCCCTAAGCCATACTCAGAATGGTAACGTGTCTGCTTAGATGTTAAATGACGTGTTCTTTAATTTGAATGTCTTAGGTTGTAGAGTTAAGAAGCTCCGAGAAAATGTCCCGCACAATAAAGACTAAAGCACAACTGAATTGATAGCGAATTTTTAATAAATCATGGCAATCCAAGAAGATAGTAGAATATTTAAGACTAGCTGTTGCTCGCGACTTCGACCGCATGAAATTAAAAAATATAGCCTATGTTAATCACTGATAACGTAGCTTTTAACGGTGAAAGGATATTTGAAAACGACCTAATACTTTTCGAGTTATTTCAATATATACAACAATACAAATCTTTCCTCTTTATAATTAGTACAGAATAGTATAGATATATCAGTAAATATAGACACAAACCTGTCAAAGATAGTATGACAAGGGTCGGGAACTGCCTCAGTAGCGAACTCTGTGACCACAATACGATTCGCTGCCTGATTTCTTTTGTACGTATCAGTACGTACAAAGCGACACTGGTAAGTCGCTGATCCCTCCGAGATCTTGAAGCTACAAAATACGTATTTATATTTTAAGATTAAATTACTCATTGCATCAAACTGATATGTTATATTTTCGATATAATGGAGAGTAAGTGCCACTTCTTGGTTACTGATATTCTTTTAAAACTTAGCAACGACTTCCAAAAGTTAATACATTAATAAGGACTGTTTAAATTACCATTAAACTCTAAGAGTTGCAGTTTCTTAAAGGCTTATAACGTTAGCAACATTCTTCTGTTCTTAAAAGTGCTCCTAGACATTGGTGATCATTTAAAATCTCGCTGTTTATTTTGTGATTAAAACAAACTGACAACGATCACGTAATAATAGAATTTTAGAAAATGGCTCTTGATTTTGTAAAGGTACATTCTTAATTTATTGATTTAACTATAAACTCTACCTGTGCAAGAGCGCTGAACCGTCGAACACATGGTCAAAAGACATCGATCCAACTTTTAGCGTCCCTGGACCATTACGTAGAAGTGTACCTTGCATCCATGACGGTATATGACCTAAAATCAATTGTACTATTGCTGTATTATTAGCTCCTAATCTTATAAAACGGCTTTTGACACAGTAAGAGCGGGCACGACGAAATAGTGAAGATTAGATAATCTTTTCTTTTACTTTACCATACCTTCGTCTAACACAAAGGCAAAACTATTGTGAGATTGTCGATTGTTTCACAGCAAATTCAACTGTTTAGTTGCACTACTAAAAATCTACTCGATTTTTGTGTGTGCACACCTCCATATAAGCTCATAGGAATCGTAACGAGACTAAACAGTTGTGCGACAGTTTAGTTTTATGTGTGCTCGCTCTAAAATAGGTGTAAATAGTTGACTGACCTGTAGTTTTTCCTTTTAATGGAGTCGTTATTTCTTCGTCGCAAGATCTTAGAAAGACAGAGGTAGTGCAGTTTGGATATAAATTATCTTTATCTGCAGCCATTCTAACTAAAACAGTTATTGACGTCACGTTTGTAAAATATTAATTTATTCCGCGATTTAAATATCAAATGACAATATTTTCCCACGATAAGATACGAATGTCAAGGTCACGTGCATTGTTAGATTAGAGATATACGGAAAAGAAAATAAAGGAAATAAGATAAAGCTTTGAGAATGTAATCATCATCTTCCCTGCCTTATCTTACTCACGTACGGTCGGCTACGGGTTTTCGTCCTCCAAATGACTCTATCATCCCTCATCTCAGTCATCACTCCCTTCTTGATCATGTCATCTTTCACGCAACCCATCCATCTCTTTCTAGGTCTACCTCTACCGATGTACCACTCCACTTTCATAACTAACGTCCTTCTTGTTACATGCGATTTAGCTTTAAAAATGTTATATAATTGGAGAGAGAGAGAGAGCATTAGAGAATTTCTTATAAAGAAAATTTGTGTTATATTTCACGTTCATTTGTTAATAAAGTCTTTATAAAAACTTTTAAGATTATTAACTATTAAAATATAAATATTATGTTGCAAAATAAAGTTACGATATCACATAAAATATAACTCATTTACAATACCTTGAACTCGTTTGTCGGTCGTTGTTTCCTTTGTTTATAATATACTTTAGTAATCTGATTATTGTTAACTGAACTAACAAGATCGTGTCCTTCACATTCATACCGCATATTTATCACAATTGCAATAAAATGTACACACGCACTGTCTTTTGTATTTGCAATGACTTTTATTTAAACTTTGGGACATTAAATTAAATATATTATACTTACTAATAGTTATATTTTAAAAATGAATTTGGCATTTGTTTTAATTTTACACGTATTTTCTAAAGTATTAAAAAAATATATTTTACCAATTAAAAAATAAAAGTTAGATGTTACTTAAATTTTCTATAATAATTTATCACATTTTACATTTAATGTTTTGTAAAAATAACACAAACATGCACTATTTGTTACACAATGAGATAATTGTTTCTTATCGATTCTTTTAAAAACATTTATGTACAATCTATTTAAAATGGTTTAATGCAGTTATTTCATGCGACATGCTTTAAAAATATTCAAGTGAAATTCCCTTTCCAACCAATTAGTTGTAATAAATATAATTTAAATGTTTAAAAACAGTGATTATAAACATGTGAAAGCTACATAACCATTAAAAAAAAAACATCACTTTGAACTTAAAATTTTTAATTAAAATAGTTTATTTCATTGGATGTTTTAAAAATCAAACAAATGAACTCACCCGTTTCAGTATTTTTACACTTTTAAGTCACAGTCTTTGAATCCAATGCAAGTAACAATGCCCCGTTTATTTCGCAAGTAATTGCATTTATTAGGCACGGTCGTTGCAAGCGGCATCTCGGGTCAAATGGTCGCGATAACTCCGGGCGTTATGCATTTTATCCTGATCGCGACCCTGATCCGACAAGACCTGGCTTATATTTACATAAGAAAAAGCGATCAATCGCTTAAACATTTAACTAAATAACAGAACTGATTTTTATCATCCGTAGAGTATGATTAAAATGCAAATGCAATTCAAATGCAAATACACAAATCATAGGAACAAAAAAGTTGTGACGCACGTATTTAACATAATAAAGTCATGTACACATGGTTATAATTTTTGGTTATAATAAATTTACTAAGCTTATCTACAGTATGTAAATGTTTTTGTTTGATTATAAGTGAAGTACTTTAGTCCAACGATCAAAATCATCGCTGGATTATAACTAGAAAAATATAAACATTGGGATTTCGGATTCAGTCTCAATGAGTTGTTAAATAGTTTTAAATTGCATTAAAATATTAAAATATAAAATGCCTTTCGGTAAGTAATGTTTAAGTTATCTATTCCTTTTCAATTCTCCCGATCTACAAATCTCGCAAGGCATACATGGCGGGTAGTTGTAGATCTTGCAGGGATTCAAGCAGTACTCTTCGCCCACCGCGTAACACCGGCCCAGGTTCAACATATCTTCGAGATCACACCTTTTGTAACATACATTAACATTAAGATAAAAATCTCATAAAAAAAATACTACGCTGTCTACGAGAAGCGAAACTGTGCATAACAATGTTTATTTGCATGACATTTGTATTATAAATCGTATAATTAAGTGGCTTTTATCTCTTTTATCTTGTATTAAGAAAATTATCCATTAACTTAAGATTCAAAGTTTATATTACTCTTAGCACATTACTGCGAGGGTGGAGAAGGGAGCAGGAACCCTTTTTGAATGCATTATGAAGCGACAATATACTTTGGGAAATAAAAGTCTCGAAATGTACATACTTGCTTTCTTCTAACAGCTTGGTCTCTACTTCATTGAGTGTGGGTACAACATACTCCACAATCCCTCCCTTGCCAATAGACAACGGCGTGGCGCAGATTTCCATGCCGTAGCATTTCCCCGCCTCCTCCTGTTCTACTAGTGCGCTGTCGATAAACGACTTATTCTCGAACATACCTTTAAAGAAGTGCGGAGCTCAT